CTCGCGGAAGATTGACGATCGTTCCTTCTTATTTGCTCCTCTTTTTTATCATCGATCCTTCGCGTCGTGCCTCTACCATTATAATTGACTTGTCTCCAGGCCAGGCCCCAATGTCCATAAAAGGTGGGCCTTTTTCGGTAGCGAGAGATTGATTCATTCAGCCATTTAACTCACTGATGAATAAAAAAAACCGAGGAAAAGAAATATTTGTACACGTGCCGCTGCCAAAATCTTGACACTACTCATGTTATTCATGTACGTGATCATCATACCGAATCAGTCTAATAGGGATGACGTGATTATCCACACATTCATTTTTGGAAACACGAAACCTTATTTGCAATCAGCGTTTTCTTTTAGCAATGCCGTCATCGTAGAGTGACATCATTGCTTACCAAACTGCCACCAAAATCCGTGCACCTAATTTCAAAATAGAATTAACGGTTAGGAGAGTTAGTCGACCCCGTTATTTCGAACATTCTCAAACATCTTGAGATTGTTTTACAGTGAATTCGCATTAGCGATGCGCTCTCGGTGTTTTTTCGGGATAAAAAATTGTCGTAATTTATCAATGATCAATTGTCGCGACAGGAATTATTGCATCATTGCTTCAAAATAGTTTCGAAGATAAATCCACTGGTATTAACAATTTTACAACGCCTGTCGCACCTGAAATAATATTTTCCTCCGCATGATCTGTAATTTTTCAAAATATATGGGAATGAATGCTGCACGTGTCAATTGCCAAAGCGTGCAATGTCAAATTGACTTGGATCACAGCTCCCAAACATCTCTAAGAATATTCCCAGCGATAAATCCCCTGGCATTAACGATTTTATAGCGCCTGTGACATCTGAAACAATATTTTCCTTCCAATGAACTGACATTTTTCAAGATAAATTGGCAGACTAACACCGATGACACCATCGACCTTTTCTCAGCAACAAATTGCGACACGAGAGCGACACGTAAGCCAGTGAGAAACTTAACTGTCCTTCCGCGTACTAGTGTGACAATTTTCCCTGATGAAATCGATGCAGCGAACATGGGGATTATCATCCCCCTGATCCTAGTTTACTGTGCGCAGCGTTAAGGAGAATTTATAACTGTAATTCGACTCGTTAGATCGAATGTAATGGAGTAGTAAAAAATCTGAGAGCAACGGATATTGCACGGAGTGAAAATCCTGTTAGAAATTATTCCATATTTTTTGCTAGAACTCTAGTAGGAAATACTTTGGTGGAATTTTTGCTTCAGTTATTCAACAATTTTATTAACAAATTAATTATCAAGAAGAAAATAATTTATTGCAGAATAATTGTGGCTTCATTTGAAGTTTTATGTAGTGAATATTTGATTTAGTGAATTTTATTCATGTTCGTTCATTAAGAATTGACAAAATTGCAGTCGTTAAATAAATGAACGAGCTTAAATTCCCTTCTTTAATAAATTATGTCTCGAATTTCTTCAATTTTCTTATTTTCACAAAATATTGACTAGTCATATGTCCAATTAATTTCCTTTTTCCTTCATTCATTTTTGTCCTAGTCATGACATATAAGAGATGAATTGCTTTCAATTAATTAGTTGTCATATTAAAAATACAATAATCATTTTAACTATCGGGATATTGACTAGACACACTGCATTTTCTGTCATTAAAATTCAGGGGTCAACTTCAACAAATTTTTCTCTTCGGGTGGATTGAGCGTCCCTTTGGACAGTTAATAGTAGTGCATAGTTATTCAGTAGTAAAGGGTGTGCCACGGAAGTGAGAGGATAACCACGAGTGACGATCCTACCGTCAATTTTACTCGTACACTGCACTCCGGGTAATAGGCCCCTCCAAGATTTATGGATTCCTGTCATAAACATAGGAAACATTCTGTCCATTTACTCCATCCAGTTGGCAATTTTTATCGCTCCAATAGCCTTGTTCTCTACAATAGATGAATCGTCCTAAATTCACGATACGGTGACCAACTTCAGGCGAACATGATGGGAGAATCCCGCGAATCGATTGCCACACCTTCATACATATTTATACATTTTCCCTTCTTTCACATTCAATCGGCCTCTCGGTATATCAGCATCAGATTGCAGCGGATGATTCATTTAATCCTCCATCATGTTCGTCGTCAAGAAGATTATCGTGAATTTGTGAATTGATGTTCCTCACGCACTCGGTAACAGCTGGAACTCCGGCAAATTGCTGGGATTGTGAGGAAAAGTGACAATTTTTTGTATCACCGAGTGCTTGCGGTGATAAAGTTATTATGTAGAGAGACTTTGGAATAAAATTCGAATAAACTCACACATTTAATAGCTATCAATGTCGTCGATATGCTCGTTACTCGTTCATTAGCACGAGAATAATTAATATATTCGTGGATAACTGACGCTGCAGGAGTGCAAGGAGAGAATAATCTGCTAGTAATGACCCCTGAATATTATTGAGAGGGTAGCGCATTGCGAGAGTTTTCCTTTTAGGAAATGATTTAAAATTTCAAGTGAAAAATCGAGAATTTGATGGCATAAAAATGATTGAATTCCGATTTTTGTGAACGGACGTTTAAAGAGTGAATGTTTGAAATACAATCATTTTTGTTTAATGCAGGCAACAATTTTTATTACTTTCACAATGGGTTGAAAATTCAAGCAGTTGATTAATATAAAAAAACTCACTTTTGTTGAATTTCCAAGATGAAAAGGAAATTCCATGAGCAATTTGATCTTCAATTGAATTGAATTTCACAATATTGAGAATCCAAATGCAGTTGTTACTCAAAATTTAAAAAATTTTCAAAAGTTTAGCAAAAACTGCAATTAGCCTAGTAGAAATTGCAATATTTTTAATATTTTTCTTCAAATTATTGCAATTCAATATTGCATGAACATGATTGTATCGACTTATGGGCCTGATAAATCTGAAATTATTCGCAAAATGAAAACTCCCACATCCCTTAGAATCATTTTGCACATTTAACAACAACTGAAGAGCCAAAGCACAATTCGGTTGCTGAAATTCCGGGGTTTGAATTCGTCGCAGATTCTCTCCCCGTGAAAAGCCCGAAAATACTGACCCCATTATCAGTTCGAGCCTCCAACCATCGATGTTTACGCATGAACACTGAAAACCCGCTGTTGAGGATAGAAAATGCCTGTACTTTGGCTGCGTAGGAGGGTGCAGAGACAGCCGCATGGCGCCTGGAGTTGGATACCACACAGACAGTCGGTTGCTATGGGGGGGAATGGAGTGAAAAATTCCAACAGCCATGATAATACAGGGGTAAACTCCCAGTATATCAGCACGCCATGGTGATCATGCATTAACCCAGATTCCCCCCAATGCACATAATCGCATTGCTCCCTCCCCCCACCTTGGGGGGGGGGGGCAAGTATCCAACCCTTGGATGAAAAACATCTCCCGCATCCGACATATCCATCTTCACCCCTTATTTCATTCTATTATTCTCGAGAATTCATTTACCCCAATTTTTTTTCCCGCGTTCTCTCGAGTCTAGCGACGAGGAAGAGGGACAAATTGGTGCAAATGAGGCTGATTGAATTGATGGGGTAGGATGAAATCGGAGGCCGGGGCTTGTATGAAATGACAAGTGTTTGTCTTAGCATGACCCATTTATATTAACGAAGGCGTGGCATCGGGTGTGTTATAACGTCAGTAGCTTCTTATTGTTCCTCTCTACTATATCATGCCCTATAATACGATGATGCTGACCAGGTTAACGGGCAGACGTCACGCGGACTTTTAAAATGTTTTTATGGAGACTGAGGTGCCTCGCCCAAGCTTTAAACCCTGATTTCAACCTTTGTGATAAGGGGATATTGCGAGCTGATGCTTTATACTTCCGTGAAGTAGCTCCGTTCGTAACAGCGGTTTTTTTTCGGCTCAGAATTATTGTTCATTATAGTCAGCGAAAGATGACTTTTGAACGCAAAAACTGTTGTTCCCACAAATTGAATTTTTGCTGGTACAAGTTAGGTTTTATTCCAACTGAACTTTTGCTTTGACGAGTAAAAATCTTTGCTGATGTTTTGGTGGTGAAGAACATTTGTTAGTCACGGAGAGAGGTGCTCAGTAAAAACTACGGAACTCACAATTCGCTCACCGCTTACGGAATCGACTCAGGAAATTGCAGTGACGGTATCTTATTTTTCACAGGAGATTCAGATAAAAATTACGGAACGCGCTTTGGAAAAATTCCGTGACTTTTCCGTAAAATTTCCTGCAACCACATTTCGCTCCGGAATTACTGAAAAGATTCCGGAGAAAACGTAAACGTAAAAATTCCGGGAAAACGTAATTTTTATTGAATATTTCTCTCCGTGTGGTGTAGTTGGTAACATTTTTCATTCTCAAATTTGCCAGGCCAATTATACTGCGAAAATTTGAAAAAATTGTAGGTACGGGCGAAAGACCCAATGTACCGAAATATTCGGGATTTTGGGATTAAGGGGTAATAAAGCGACGGCAGACCCAAGTGGGTTGTATTGAGGGTGGGCCTTTGGGCGACAGTTTGATGCGCACGCGTGGGGAAAACACAGGGAATTTGCAGTGGAAATTTCCTGAGTTTGCTTCCCCCTCAAAATGTTGCCACTTTGTATTATTACTTCCTCCACTCCGGCTTTTCCTGATTTCCCACAATTTTTATATTTTTTCTCTCCAATATTTTTCGTTCAACAATTTAATTCATTTAGCAATGCCTTCCATTTTGCATTTTTAAATTTCCGAAACTATACAGTTACCTTAAACGATTCTCACATGCGATGAAGTCATTGCTGTCAGTATTGAATAACTTCCCGATGAATCAGGAAGTTGAAATCTTATGAGATCGTGAAATGAATTCCTCATCGATAAATCGTGATTAGAGTGCGTAATTTTATTTCATTCATATCATTTGGTTCTTACAATCAATTTAAAATAATTATTGAGGCGTGGAGAACAACAATTTTTTATGATGTTTTTTTTTATGTTCTAGTCCTCGGCCGGCCGCAGAATGCGGACCGAACGTATGACGATTACCCCGGCGATGAATTGAAGGAGTACGATGATCCTGAAGATCCCGAAGAGCAGGACACCGGAAGAGGGACATCCTCACCGATTCCAGTCATTCAATCGCAAGCCCTGAATCTGAAAGCCCGGCCAGGAGACAAGGTCGAATTTCCATGTGTCATCAGTAATGGAGGTATTTTATTTCACTCGTTTTCCTATTGGCGGGTGGAACTGTATGGAATAGGGTTGTTCTGGTTCGTGCTGAGTCACCCGTTGACAGGGGGCTCTCATTGTACTGTATTGATTGATATCTCCCAAGGTTTGGGTCAGTGACTTGGGGATTTCTGGTTGATAATGGAGGGATGGGGGATTGCGTCATTAGATGATTAATCGATTGTGGCTGACGGGGATTAATAGATGTTACGTATCAATATCGGATGGGATAAGTGGGGAAGGCAATTTCGCGGAGCGGAATGTTGAGAAAAAATGATTTAGGAAATCATGGCAGATTTTATTTCGTGAAATATAATCGTGAAGCGGAATGTAAGTTAAAAATACTTTGCGTAATGGAAATTTGATGTTTCGTCAAGTGAAAACATTATTTCTCAGCAAAAATCACTGCTCTTTACGCAGTAAAATTCTTCCCATGAGCTTTAAAAATATTCCCACATTCCTCAACAATGATAATTAGATCTTTATTCTCAATTTTTATTTTCTGTGACAATTAAGAATGGATTGAAATTAAGCGCTGAATTGTAAAAAAATCTTAGAAATGAAGGAATAATTTCAGTTCTCTGGCGCAATTTTTGATAAACTTCTGGATGAATTAGAGCGCTTCAGGACAAATTATGTGACATTCGGGCAATTTTTTGGATGAAACGGTGGAAATTCACCATTTCGTTGGCATTTTTCATTCATAAAGAATAAGAAAATATCTGGAACGCTATTTCCACGATTACTTGAGGGCTTTAGTAATGTTTTCTAAACGTATTGTAACTCACAGGGAAATTTTGCACAAAATTTTTGAAATGTTGCGTAACAATTTCTAGAAATGAGTACTTATTTCCGCAATTTTTCATGAACTTCTGGATGAATTAGAGCACTTGAGGAGAAATTACGTGACATTCATTGATTTTTTTGGAGTGAACGAAGGAAATTCACCATTTTCTTCACGTTTTCCCTTCGTAGAAATTGAAAAAAGATCTACAATTGTATTTCTACGATTACTTGGATTCTTCAGTAATTTTTCCCCTACTTTTTTCTCCGTATGATGACAAATTCGTTGGACTTTCTTTTGATTAATTAATCTGAATTTTTTCGATCCATTAGAAAACGACGTGATACAATGGACAAAGGGCTCTGAACCCCTGTTCTTCGGTGGAACAGTGACGACAGATGAACCAGAAAGAATCAAACTCACACGATCCAACTCACTAGTCATCGACCCTGTGACAGAATTAGATACATCGAATCAGTGGACGTGCAGCGTTCTTGTTGAACCTCCTGTGATACTCAAACATAGCCTGGTAGTGGAGCACGGGCCGACCGATCTGACCAACCCCACCGCCCCACCCGATCAACAGCCCCTGAAAGTGTGGCCAGGGAAGAAAATCATGGTCAATGAGAGCATGACTGTCAAGTTTGGCTGCGAGAGTCAAAGTAAAACAAAGCCCGAAATCAAGTGGTCACTCAAGGTAATCCATTGTTCGTGACATTAGAGGATAGGTTCAATCCAAGAGTCGATGGGCTGGAGCTAATATCGTCTATTTGCAGGGAAAGACAATTGATGAGGTTCAGGGCACACGGAGGGAGAACAATTATGTATTCATTGAGCATGCAACGAGGCATCACGCCGGAGTGTATCAATGTCTTGCGGAGGATCGATCGGCTAGTCCACAGCACGAGGCTATTGAAGTCGTTGTGAATTGTGAGTTCAATTGTGAAGCTGAGATTCGAGGGGGGATTGGAGGGGTCAGACTCGTCGGGAGGATGATTTTATAATGATGTGGTGGAATGCATTTTTTTATGCAGAGAGAATGTTTGTAGTTTTCAAGATGGAGTGGCTCATTTTGAGACTGTATGATCAATTTCGGAAAAAACATATCTGAAACTGTACTCTGAACATTGTTGTTTGATTAAGGATATTTTTATTCTTGCATTGAGAATAATGTTAAAAATTCTTGGCTGAAATTGTTGGCACCTTCGACATTTTTAGCATTTTGTTTGTTTTTTCAATGAAATTTCGAGAAATTTCGGCATTGAAAATTCAAAATTTATGAAAAAATTTATGGAAATTGTACATTTCAGTTAAATTATTCCAAATTAAATTACTAAAAATTGGGAAAATTCTGGTAAAGATATTCGTGAATTATCAGTGAAATCTGAAATTACATGATTTTTTCCACTCTGAATTGAATTCAATGTCACTCTTCTGAAAATTACTAGTCAACTCTCTATGGAATTTCAAATAGTCTTCTACTCGAGAACATGCGAAAAGAATAAAGTTCAGGTTTAATTAACCATTTACTTCAAAATTAACCGAGTCAAACTTTCTCCTCATATATTTTCAATAATTAAGAAGTTATGAATGAAATTGAAATTTTTTTCTCTGTGCAAATACAAAAAAAATCCCCTGCATTGTTTTGAATCACTATATTCCAAGACATTGGCCTTATCTAAAATCTGACATTTCATACTTCCTCATCGTATTTTTAATTACTCAATATTCCCCGACAGATTCGCCATTCATCGAACTCGAGCACGACACCTTCCACACGGGTCTGGGCATGATGTCCGAAATAAGTTGTGAAGTTGATGCTCATCCCCATGGCCATCTCAAGTGGTACAAGAACGGAAATATTGTTTCCAAGGTCGGAACAACCCACAAGCACGAAAAAACATCCACTGGCAAGACCCTGCATAAACTCATCATTGAACACACCCACAAGGAGGACCTTGGAACTTACACGTGTCGAGCTACCAACGAACTGGGTGACGCCTCCAAGGAAGTCATCCTCACTGGTGCCCCAGCCAAGCCTATATTGAACCATGGTGAAGATCTTAACAACCAAAAGGCCCACATGGTCAGGTGGCGCGTGCAAAGTTTCTCGCCAATCACTGAGTACAAGGTGAATGAAAGCAAACAACGATATCTTACTGGCTAAATACATTCTTACGTTGTGAATGATAATCAGTTGTCGAGAAGAAGTCATCGTGGTGAAAGGTTTTAGAAAATTTCGAATTTTCTTTACATTTTGGTGCTGATCAGTTTTACTCTTCCAGTTTTAATGTAAAAAATGGAAATGAATTAAGTTTCGATTTTTTTCATTAATGGAATCTTCAAAAGTGTTCTCAATACGGCACATATGCATAAATATAATATTGAATGAGGATTTTAAAAAAAATCGTATTTTGGCTTTTGAAATATTTTTCTTGAAATTGCTACACTTGGAAAATGTAAAAAAATTATTACATCAATGGTTTATGAAGCAGTTAAGAAATTCAGACCTATTTTTTTCTCATTTACATCAAATTCCCATCAAATGCCAGAGGCTTCAAACATCAATAAACAATGAATTTATGATTTTTCAGCTCGAATACCGAATGAAGGGTGAGGACAAGTGGATCGAGGTGAAACCTCAGGTGAAAGACGGACAGGAAAATAATTTCTTCGTTGAAAATCATTTCGAGAATCTCCTGCCAGGTGTCTACCAAGTGAGACTCCTCGCCAGGAACGACTTTGGATGGTCACCACAGTCATCCATTCATGAATTTAGGAAAGGTACATCACATTTATCTCCCTTGATGAATTTAAACACGATAAATTTGTGGAATTACCTGGAGAAGGGATTTTATTCCTCTCATTAAATTACACTTCTTATCTTCTCATATTCGTCATGATTCTCAATCCCTCAACTACTTAATAATTTGTTTAATTCACTTTCAGAAATCGTTGCGGACGTACCACAGAATGGTGAGCCATAGTTTTTCAAGTTTATGGGAATGATAGTCGTGCATTGAATGACGCAATGGTGGAAAAAACGTGAATGAATCATTTGAATAATTTTTATTCTTGTATTCCAGTGAAAGGAGCAGGAGGAGGTTCCTCGACGACACGACCGCTCGCGGCACTAACAGCTCTCCTCCTAGTCGTTTCAACTCGTGTCTTTACGTGTCTTTAATTAACTCACCACTCCACACTACATAGGTAAGGATAGTGCGTCACGATGAGTCTAACAACCATCATCAGCCACTTACAAATAACTACAAATATATTTTTTTATTCTCACTCTGGTTTTTTTGTAATAACAGGTAATTTGCTGCAGCCAAAGCGTACACCAGCAAACTTTCATGGTGGGACTAAGAACGAGTGTTGCCTAGGGGAGTGCCTTTACCCACACGATTATTTGCGTACGAAGAAGAAATAAGCCTTGATACACCGTTGAATTTCCTTTGCCTTCCATCCACCAGTCTTCCGGATAATTCAGAGGTGTGCCTCCACTTCACGACAATTTAATTTATCACAGCATTCGCTGATTCACTGAATTATGTCGTGGGAAAATTTTCTGATATTGCGAATGTACATAAGAGTTTTCGATCAACATCGAAAGATTTTAAAACAGATTATGAAGTTCGAGACCAATTTTCAACTGTTCTGCAATGAAATTCTGCACTGGGAAGAAAATTTAATTATTTCAATCAAATTTTACTGGCAGCATTGATTTTTTTCTCAGTGTAACGATCTAAAAACTATTTTTGCAATTGAGAATTTTAATCTGTCGATAATGTGATAGATGAACCCAAGAAATAGAGAACATTCGAGGAAATTTTTCGGTGCCTTCGATACCGCAGAGGCCTATTATGAAAGTAAAAATCCGTCTATTCCCTCTCCTAGGTGTGCCATTATGTGCTAGAGAGTATAAAGCATTTTTTTAATTTCACTCTATAAAGTACGGAAATAGTGTAAGGAGATACATATACTTCAAGAAAAAGTTATATTTATATACCTGTATAACATAGTATTCGTTGTACATGAATAAGTCAAGAGATACACGATCGTTATTATTATAATTTATTTTTGTATGCTTAAGTGGTGAAAACGATACAAAACTGATAAATCTTGGGAGAGGAATGAAGAGCTGAGGGAGAGCTAATCAAATCGGTCTTCAGATGCTAAACATCGTTTTGTGCCATTCTTCACGTGCGGGTATTTACGCATATTTACCGCTGGATCCCGTCTGAGCGGCACAAAATCTGTTTAATGTTGACAAAAACCGAGAAAATAATGATGAAGGTTTCTCATATTTTAATGAGTTGATGTTCATGAGTAATAAATTAATGTTTAAGATTAATTGGAAAGAGGGAGAGTGACGAGGAAACTAGGATTCTGCTTATTTTTATTTTAGCTTTTGCACCTACCTAAGACGTGTCAAAATGAATGAATTATTGTGTGCTTTGTGTGTGTTGGGAGTGCTTGGGGATGAGTGAGTGGGTAGAATTTTCTCGGTTAATTTTGCAAATATTAGAGATTAAAGCGGCTCTAGAGCATAGGTAGAAGCAGGAGAGTAGGTTCCTGTACAGGACGTTCATTGCACATCTTTCCTGCAGATAATTCATCACTGAATTTTAATGATCTTTGGGGATGAGTTCTCTGCAGTGTCGAAGACCCAACGATTGAAATTCATTGGTGAAACGAATTAAAGAACGTGGGCACTAAAGCGCAATTCGAAAATTAACCAGGTGAGATCCACATTCTTCACTTTTCGTGATTCATATTGTCCTGTCAAAAACAGTCACTGTGCCCAAGGGGAATTCCACACAGAGTTTGAACCTAAAATAAAAGATGAGGAAAAATTGAAAAATATCAATGTTTAACATAATTTGTATCACAAAACAGTTTGAGCTGATTTGTAATCGTTAAGGTACTTATTTACGTGTAAAATAAATATATTCAGTAGAAAAGGAAGAAACACCAATCGTTTCATTGGGAAAACTGCTTTTGACATTGTAATTGTGTTCTGTCGCCTGATCGTTGGAGTCGTTTGTGTACAACTGTCACCGGTGCCTCATACGATACGTATATTATCTGTAAAAAGTGGAACACGTGAATATTCTTATCAATAAAATCACAGAAGTGAGAGCAAAATGAATTTAGAGATTATTTCATTCTTTATTCAGCCCTTATGTTTGTTGGGGAGATCTTTGAATTCGCTGAAAACTCCGAAATATTGAAATTCCACTCTACGGTGTTCATTGCATATCTTTCTTGCAGATAATTCCTCAGTAAATTCAAATGAATATTGATATCCAAAGATTGATATGAGGAGTGCATCTCAAAAATGAACCGAATGGAATAGAAGAATATTTTTGTGTTTAGTTGAAATCATTAGGCGACAAAAAATTCCATAGTGTTTAACATGAAATCACAAAACAGTTTCGGCTGATTTGAAATCCTTAAGGAACTTATGTACGTGTAAAATAAATATATTCAGTAAAAAAAGGAAAAAAAACGATAGTTTGTTTGGAAAATCTGCCTTTTGGGGTAAAAAACTGATAGAAGACGATTCTAGATTCATATAAACATTTTATTGAGGCTTCAACGTAACATCAATGGTCTCGGGAGCTGCAACATTCACAAGATTGATCGATGCTATTGGTTTATCGCTGATAATCGTGTTGTGTACAATTCTCCTCTCGTCCTTGACCTCATTATTCCCAAAAAATTTACAAGAGATGACGTAATAACACGTCTGTACAATACTGTTAATTAATCCGCTGGTCACAAATATTCCTCCAACAATAGCACAGAGTTTTACGAGAAATTGAATCACAGAGTCACGCTCTTGGGTGACTTTAATTTTTAATGCACTTGTGTCGTATTTGAAGAAAATTCCTGGTATTCCGTGAGAGCCCTTGTGGTGGTCAATGGGTCGTGCGTAGTCTTTCACACTGTATTGGTAGGTTTTAGTGTTTCTTAATAATGTCTGGATGTCGGTGGGAACGACTTCTATGAAGTATTGATATAACATCATATCTGGAATGCAGGGAAACATTTTCATGTTGATAAAACTCAGAATTAATTCTTGGGATTCATTAGATTTATGGATTGGTTTTAGGTTTTTTTTGCAGTATTGAATATGGAAATATTTATGGAGGAAGTGATTTTGGGGGAAAGTAAAGGCCAGGAGCTAAAATTTCTCCTGACACTTTCGAAAAAATGATGTTCAAGGTGGACAATTGATTGTTTATGAATTATTCACAACAAAAGATTGTAAACGTTAAAAATGACAAACTTTCAATTATTATACCAATTATTTTCAAAACGTAGACTTCAAAATTCCTTTCCACGATTCTAAATATTTAAATGAACGGAATTATGTAGATAATTGCGATTTGTAGGGAAATCAGAATTAGATCCAGTGATTTCATGAGCTCCAAAAAAATCCCTTGCATTATTTCGTAAACTTATTATTTTGTGGTAAATCAACAATAGCCAAGACTTGAATGAATAATAACTTACTTTCATCAGCAATTTTTTCATCTCCATCAAGAGGCTGTACAATCCCAGGACTCTCGTCTCCAAAGGAAAACTTATTAATCCGATGTGTGAAGTTATAATCTTGACTAGTCATAAATGCAGAAATATGCACATGACCCCTCGGCAGTGAGAGAGACTTGCCAGCGGTAATATGAAAATTCCCAGCAACTTTATTGACATTTATGCTGCCGTAAATGCGACAGGCATCCGGTGGATGACTGGGCTCCGTACTCCTGTCGTAAATTCCATTCTCAATAACAATAAACTGGGATAAAAATGATGAATGATTTATTAGTTATTACCGTTTCGGCATTTCGCCCATGAATGCGACTTGATGGGATTTCCACAGTAGTTCGTGGATCGCGTGGTACTCCTCTCTCAGGTACGAGTTCATGTGCTTGAGGGCATCGAAGTGGGATCTCTGATTGGATGACAAGTCCCACCAGGTGTCCTCCTCGGAGAGGGGCTCGAATCCCAGGAGATTCTCGTTCGTTGAGTCTAGGATGTCAGCTCCTATTTTACTGCAGGTCATTGCTACTGTTATGTCGACGTTTATTTTTAGTTTAGCATCGATTTCAGTGTCTGGCTCAAATTTGAACCAGAGCCTCGCGTCCAGGAAGTAACGAGTCTCGGAGAGTATCAGGTAACATATTATGCAGAATGTTATGAATGAAACTGCAAAGGATGATTCATTTGATTTTTATGTATTCCTTCATTCAGCAATCATTAATATCAGTGAAGTAATTCTAGTGGAAATTTATCAGTGGAAGATTGGCTTCTGTACAGGGAATAATAATATTAGGTGTGGTAATTATTTTCAAAGGATGTTCTAGTGAAAATGAAGTTATTATTCTTGAATAAAACATTAATTTTATTTTATTATTTAGAACTTTTGCCATATTTCCGGGCAACAGATAGAATTCACGATGAAAAAATCGAATATCGTTTGGGGGAGTCGACGCTAAGGATCTTTGAAAATTAATTATCTCCGATAGCAAATGTTCTACTGATTGGAGAGTTTTTTTTATCAATTGTAAATAGCAGTAGAGGTGTGATCAAGAGATTGAAATTATCTTGTGAGAAGAAAACATCAATGAAGAATGTTTTTCTCGGCAAGAAATAATAATTTAATCATCTCTTCGGAAGTTTGATAATTATCTAGGAAATTGGAAATTTCATAGAGATATCGACAGACTTTTGCAGGAAATTTCTTCTGTACAAGAGGAAAAGTCCGAAAGTACATTTTAAAATCTCTTTGTGAAATTACTCTTCTTAGATGATCAATGAAATAGAGCACGTGGCATAAATGGAGAAGGACGAAACTCTAAAATATAATTATCAAAAGATCAAATAAATAAATAAAATATATTTAAGAATATCATAAATAAATATAGTACAGGTGAAAATCATAACTTCGACAAATTGTAAATTACGCATTTAATCGAAAAAATCACTGAATTTCTGAATGATTTAATTAAAAATTTTTACTCACACGTTCCACCAACAGCTGATTTATTCGTATAACTCTCAGGCACCTTTGGAAAAGCGTCCAGCTGGGTGACAGTTTTCAAATTGACATTTCTCCTCCTCAACATAATGAATAAAATTTCAATAAAAAGGTATGAGTACGAAAGTGAGAATAATTGACCACTACAGTGGAAGACAGTATTCAACCGAATTTCAGAACATCTTTTGAGGATCAAAAAATAATAAATGTTGAAAAAAATTCTATAAAAATAAAAAAAGGAGGTTAAGACCGGCCGATTTTGTGCAGCTCGTTCGACATTAGATCAGCAGAGATCACTGAACAATTTCCATTCTACGAGAATTGAGTAATCGTCAAGAGCCAACACCTTGGGTATTCATTATTTACAATATTTACACGAATTTGTTCAATCGCTAATTCGGTATTGACACGTCGATTCACTTATTTGTTGTGTCTGCAGTAAGGAACGATTCCTATGTGTAGAATCTACTCTTGTCTTGAGAACCTTTGCGCTGATGGTAAGTGATCTTCAGACTCATGACTTGTTCATAAATCGGCAATGAAGATTACCTCGGTTATCCCACGAACTGACGCGCGTTAGACTATTTCACCTGACAATGAGTAAAAATCAATCGGTTCATGCAGCAATATAAACAAGATTAAAAATTCTAGGTATAGTTTTTGGAATTTAAAATTCAAAATTCCATGGAAAACTCAATTAAAAATTTACATTTCAGTTTAATTATTCTTTGAAAATTAATGGAAATTGGGAAAATTCCGGTAAATATAGTCTTGAATTTTCAATTTATTGAAAATTCAGCGTAATTTGGTACTAAATATCCATGCTTTGAGGAGACATTCAAATAAGTTGAGGAATTCTCGTCTTAATGCCGCTTAAAAATGCGGAGTTTCATTGAATTTCCAGTGAAATTTGAAACTTCTTGATTTTACCCGTAAATCGCATTCAATGTCACTCTCCTGAACATTATTGAGTGACTATCCATGAAATTTCAATTTTTTTCTAGACGTATGATTCAGCAGATTCATTTTGATTCTTTTCATTTTGTAATGCTATTTGTTTTGTAATTATAACTATGCGCTGTTAAAAATTTCTGGTTGAAATTTGAATAAATCGGAGAACGTTCGTCGCCCTGTCGTTCAGAAATGTGAAATTTCATTCAGTTTTTTGCGAAATCTGAAATTCATGACTTTCTTCGTGACGTCATGAGCGATTTCCGTTTAAAATCATTAACTTTTGATGAATCATTATTAATTAATCAACAATATTCCAAACGTTGATGATTAAAAAATTACCTATTTAGGCCCTAAACTGAATATTAACAATTAAAAACAACTGAAGCAAGTTCTCTATTTTTATGATATTATTTACAAAAAACTGTCTGTTCGTCAGTGTTTATCGGTTTGCTTGCCCCAGTCGTTGTATTACCCACATTAGAACAGCATTTACTTCGCTCTTCTCCCTGTTTTACCGTAATATCGACTTCACAGTGGGCAACTGAAGGATTTTCGTCGACAACTGGCGCCTCGATTCATCAGAAAGTCCTCAGGAAAGCCACCAGATATCTCTCATCATTTATTTTCCAATAAACGCGCGCGTGACCGAGATAATCTCCGTAATAAACAACGATCTATTTTAACTACCGGCCATTACTTAAGAGCCGATTCAGAGCATTACTAGAGAGTTTATCACAATTGCATCGTGATAATTTCAATAATGAATCTAGGAAAATTAAACGAATAATTCTGCATTTTCATTTCAAATAAATTCCACAAACTGAAGCGTTTTTTTAATAACGAATGGGTTCGTCTTTTCCACTTGTGAGCACACAAACGTTTATTACATAAAAGATATCGTGCCTTCACTGCTGGCTTCAATTCCCATTAAGTTAATGACCTCGGGTAGGAAACGTAATTAATCATCGTAATTACACGCGATATTAACATAACGATACATCGGTGTCTAATGAAGCAGAGTTGGATTTATATTAGCTGAAAGGAAATTGAATTCTGTTACATACATCATTTTCACTCACTTTAAACGCTGCTGTATTTTTCTCTTATTATCAAGATCTCATTGTCGTGAATTTATCATCATTAGTATTTGA